GAGCCAATGAAGAGAATGTTAAAAGAAATAGAAGAATTCAGGGGAGTGTAATCTGACAAAGAAGATAATTTCAAGGAGAAATTGGTGGTAAATCTTTTTTAAAATGCTTCAGAGGAATGAAAATGGATCATTCTTAAAGGGTCATCTTCTGTCACCATTTTTAAAAATAGACACTCAAGTTACTTAATTTTAAGGTTATTGTTGTACCATTTATTTTTTCTATTTGTTTCTTCCTATTTCCTGTTTTCTTTTTGTAATTTTAGACTGATTGTTATCAATTCTGTTGGATTAGGTGGGGAAGATAATGCATATTGAAATTGCAGTTTTGTGTTTATTATTCAAAAGGGTAAAAGACCAGAAGCTAAGGCTTGTATATCATTTCAGTTTCATGCCTTGTTGAAATAGATTTAAACTAAAAGTAGTTTTAGTTTAGCTTAATCTTCATATTCTGAATGTTAGTTTGCCATGTGCAGTTTTAAAATATATAAATAAAAATACCTGTATTCACCCTAAACAAAACAAATCTGTTGCCAGCGAGTTGATTCCTACTCATGGTGACCCCATGTTCACACTAGCTGTCTAAAAATTAAGTTATACATGGTAGATCACATCTCACAAGGAGATTAACTCACAGGGTGAGTATAAGCAGTAAAACATGCTCTGATTGTACAGTTGTGAATTATTTTAATTAAAATGGGCATTTGGTAGTACAGTAGAACTCCATATTTTAAAGGAGACTTCTATAAAAATGGTAGAATTAGTACATAAGAAAGAATAAATAAATACAAAAGAACCTTAAAAATGGCAAGGAAGAATAAGACTTATAAAAAGTTTGTTTGGCGTGTGAAAATTGGGATTGCTTTGGTGAGTGTTTTGACTAAGACTTGAAGTTGACTTTAAAAAATCTAAAGTTGCCGTCGAGTGGATTCCGACTCATAACACCCTATAGAAAAGAGTATAACTGCCCCAAAGGGTTTCCAAGGCTGTAATCTTTATGAAAGCAGACTGCCACATCTTTTCTCCTGAGGAGCAACTGGTGGGTTCAGACCACTGACCTTTTTTGGGTAGCAGCTGAGCATCACCAGAGCTCCTCAGAGTTGACAAAAGGCAAAGGCAAAGCTAGGAAATCCCTGTTGTGCTTCCAGTTTTTCCGCTGAAGATAATTTTCACACTGGCAAGCATAGCAGAAATATTAAGAGAAAACTTAAAGCCCAGATGAGTGAGAAGGTAAAAGTGTAACTAGACCTTTGGCTAGGAAAAGAGACCTGGTGGTGTAGTGGTTAAGTGCTCTGCTGCTAACGGAAAGGTCGGCGCTTCGAACCCACCCAGTAGCTCCATGGGAGGAAGACCTGGTGATCTGCTCCTGTAAAGATTACAGCCTGGGAAACCTTATGGGGCAGTTCTACTCTGTCACATGGGGTTGCTATGACTTGCAGTCGACTCGGCCGCACCCAGCAACAACATGGTCAGGAACTGTAAATGTCCTGATTTTTTCAAAGTCGGGGTGGGAACTATGGAATTTGCTCTCTGACCATAGCAAAAATCCAGGAGCTAGTGAGTAAAAAACGTGACTTTTCAATAAGGACATTTGACAGAGTATATCATGATAGTATAATGGTCAATATGGAGAAATGTAGGTTGAAGTTAAAACTGGAAAACCAAACCCATTGCCAACAGGTTGATTCCGACTCATGGTAACTTCATGTGTTACAGAGTAAAACTGCTCTGTAGGGTTTTCTTGGCCGCAGTCTTTATGGAAGCAGATCGCCAGGCCTTTCATTCCACAGTGCTGATGGATGGGTTCAAACCACCAACCTTTAGGTTAGTAGTCAAGCTCAAACCATTTGTGCCACCTAGGAACCTATAATGAGTTAGGTAACTTTTAATCTGGTTAAATAATTATTAAAAGATATTGGTTAACAGACTATTTTTTAAAGAGGTTTCAAGGTGTATACTGCCAGATTATATCTTTGCCCAGCCCTTTTCAAACAAAGATCTAATGACAAATAGTTACGTGAGTCCTTATGTGCTAATAAAGCACTATTCTAGGCTTTTTATATGAAGCAACTCATTTAACCAAACAATAATCCTGTGAGATAGGTCTTAATATAGACCATAGAAGAATGCTTAAAAGATAGACTATATAAAACTGAATAATTTTAAATTATCTCTCTAAATTGGAACTCCAGGTTAAACAACAGAATGAAATTTAAAAGCATTAGATTATAGTTTGGTATTTAGGAACAAAAGATCAGTTAATAGAAGTACCGAAAGGAGAAAGCCTACTTTGACTGATGTGGTTAATTAAGAAAAGATCTGAGAATTTTTTAAGTTATGCAAAGTTACTGAACTTAAGTCTACAGAATCAAGAGACATAGTCACTGAGTACTGTGTATTGATCAAAGTGTAAGAGTAGTGAAATACACTTTAATGAATAATTGTTTTATTGTTCATTGCTGTGGAGTCGATTCCGACTCATGGTAACCCCATGTATGCAGAGTAGAACTGCTCCATGAGGTTTTCAAGGCTGTGACCTTTCAGAAGCAGATCAGCAGGCCTGTCTTCTGAGGTGTTTCTGGGTAGATTTGAACTGCCAACATTTCAGCAGTAGTTGAGTGCTTAACTGTTCATGCCACCCAGGACTCCATATCCAAAGATAGCAACCAGGACAAAGCTGTTGCCTTCAGAAAGGCAAAAAGACCAGTGGAAGTTATGGGAGTATTATAGTTAGATTAGGAATAGAGAGCAATTTTCAAAATCTGTCTCTCCTACAGTCTATTTCAAGGTAATTCCTTGTTAGAAGAACTCAGGCAGAGACTAGATACAAAAACAAAAAAAAATCTTGAGGTTGTAAGAAGAAAATGCAAATTATAGAATTTTGATTTTTTTTTTTTTTCCCCAAGAGGATTTGGAAACCACTCAGGTCCTCACTTTACATTTGAGGAAATAATCCCAGAGAAGTTAAAAGTACTTGGCAAGGCCATACTTAATGAAAGAACCAGGACTAAAAGCAAGTCTTTTGACTTCCAGTACAGGGAACTTTGATTCATTTTTTTTTCTTATTAGAATGGTTTAAACTTGACCTGAAATTCTTTCCAATTCAGCTTTTATTAAAAGAGATTAGCTTTGTTAATGACTTTTTTCTCGTTTTAAAAGTAAATAATGTAGAAGAAGATACAAAATCTAATAAGTTCTCTGAGGTTAAGGAGTTGTGTCTGTTTTGTTCCCTACTCATCAACTGGACCAATAAGCAACATAATGATAAACGGAGAAAAGATTGAAGTTGTCAGGGATTTCATTTTACCTGGATCCATATCAGCACCCATGGAAGCAGTAATCAAGAAATCAAACAATGCATTGCGTTGGGCAGATCTGCTGCAAAAGACTCTTGAAAGTATTAAAAAACAAAGATGTCACCTTGAAGACTAATGTTCCTGACCCAAGCTGTGGTGTTGTCCGTTAGCTCATATGCATGCAAGAGCTGGACAGTGAATAAGGAAGACCAAGAATTGATGCCTTTGAATTATGGTGTTGACGAAGAATACCGAATATACCATGGACTGCCAAAAGAATGAATAAGTCTGTCTTGGAAGAAGTACAGGCAGAATGCTCCTTGGAAGCAAGGATGGCAAGACTTAGTCTCACATACTTTGGACACGTTATCAGGAGGGATCAGTCCCTGGAGAAAGACATCATGCTTCATAAAGTAGAGAGTCAGTGGAAAAGAGAAAGACCCTCAACAAGACAGACTGACACAGTGGCTGCAGCAGTGGGCTCAACAATTGTGAGAATGGCGCAGGACCGGGCAGTGTTTCGTTCTGTTGTACATAGGATCACTGTGAGTTGGAACCGACCTAACAACAACAGTGTATCAACAGAACCTAGATCAGTGTTGATGCATAGTAGGCATGTGCATACTGGTTTAATGAATTAGGCAGTGGTTAACGGTATGACCCATAGAGTCAGTACTGGATTCCGTACTCATCTATACCATTTTTAGCTCTCTGCCCTTAGACAGTGAGCTTGATTTCTCATCTGTGAATGTTAAATGAGTCTGTCTTCTGGTCTGTATTTTTAAAATAGAGTTGAAATCATACTGTATAAACAATTTTTTTATTTCATATTATAGCGTAAGCATTTTCAGGCATCCTTTCTAATGACTACATAATTGTAAGTTCTTGAAGCAGTGTTAAACTTGAGTTTGTTTCCAGAAATTTGTTATTAAAATGTTACAGTGAACATACTGTGCATAAAACCTTGTCCACATTTCAGATCTCCCGAGGATAGTTTTCCAGCAGTGGAATTAAGAAAAAGATCTCCATATTTTGATACATGTTGATAAATTGCATTTCATAAAGGTTGTACAAGTTTTCTACCATAAAAGTGTATGAGCATTTTGTTCTTAGCCCACTTCCTTGATATTTTTTTAAGTCTTTTATCTTTTCTATTTTGATATATGAATAATATTAATCTGGTTTATCTATATTTTTGAGTATTGCCAAAATTGAAATTTTTCAAATGTTTTGTGTTCAGTGATTTTAAAGATTTATTTGTTTATATTTTGCTGATTTGTCTTCGTGTCTTTCAATAATTTAACAAATAGAGTGCCTACTATGTGCCAGATACAGTTCTGTCTAGGGTCTAGGGATTTAGCTTTGAACAAAAAGTCCCTGCCCTTAAAGGGCTTATATTCCCGTCATTTAATTCTTATTGATTTGCTTAAATTCTTTAATAATACATTGATGTGTTTATATTATATTTGTTTTCCGTAGGTTTAAGTAGAAAAGTTTGTGCTTTTTATGTAATCTAATCTTGATTCTCTGCGATGTTTTCCGTTGAATTAAAACCTAGAAAAACCCCCTTCCAAAAATTTTATAAATATAAGCATATGTTTTTTAATATTTCAGGCATTTAACTCAGTCTATCTGGATTATATTTTTTATAGGCTGTGAAGTGAGGGGCTAAATTGATTTTTTTTTTTTTTTTTTTTTCCTCTCCACCTATTAAAAGATGCCAGATAACATTTATATACTGGTCTTTTGCACCACCCCTTTTGGGGGAGGGTGCCTTCTTATATCTTAATTTTTTATAAATAAGGATTTTGTGAAGCTATCTACTTTTTCCATTGGACATCTATTTTTGTATCATTTTTGTCATGAACTTCTGTTTTGTTTAATGGTACTGCTTTACTTAAATGTGACACATGACCATATGAAATAATTAACAATGCCAGAAAAAGCATAGTTTATCCATATTATCAGAAATTCTTTAACTGAAAATGTGTTACTGTGTTGTCTTATTTAAAATTAAGTGGTATATGTTTCTCGTTTGGGTATTGGGGAGGAAAGCCCCAACTCGAAAAAGGCTAAGGAAAGAGAGCTCAGGCCAGCAGTTTCTGAGAAGGGGAAAAACACTTTTTCAGCAGTGTTTTGATATACAGTTAGGATTGAGATGAGACTCAAGAGCAGCAATACAGCCTATATTCCGGCACCTTTGTTGGGGAATAAATTAGTTTTAGAAGGAAGTGCTTGCTGTAAGCCCTTCTGATTCATTTTTCCTTAGAGTGAGAAAAACAGGATCCTTATTTCCTGCCTGCAGGGATGTGTACTAGGACTGAAGTCTTGAGAATATAGGTTTGTTTTGCTGCTTTCTGAGCCCTGGTGGCACAGTGGTTAAAGGTGCTTAGCTGCTAACGGAAAGGTTGATGGTTCAAACCCACCATCCGCTCGGTGGGACAAAGATGTGGCAGTCTGCTTCCATAAAGATTTACAGCTTTGGAAACACTGGAGCGATTGTACTCTGTCCTATAGGGTCCCTGCGTCAGAATTGACTCAACGGCAGTATGTTTGGTTTGGGGCCTAAGTACGATAAGTCATACTTGTGTTCTTATTTTTATAGTAATAAGAACTACAGTCTAAACATGAAAGAGCACAGCTTGAACGTCAGGATCTAAGTATTCTAGAATAGTGGTCTTCAAATTAGTTTGATCATATTGTTTGTCAGTAAAAAGTTTGAGCATGTACTGCCACTATTTTTAAGTGTTTAAGAAACTTCATACTATCATGAATTAATATCTCAAGGGACAATATATTCAGTATGTTTTATTGCTACTAATAGAAATTGACATCATAGACTTGATCTTAACTTTTTGGTATATTTGTCAGATCTGATTAGATGGTTATTTATTTCATAATGTGGAGGATGAAGAACTAGTCGTAGGGATAGAAGTGTCAGCTCTCCCAGGCACTTCTTTACTTGTCCTTGAATTATTAGCATTATCATCCATGTAAGGTTCTGCGGGAACCTTTTTCAACCATTTGTCTATTTGTAAGGAGAGTTTAGTTAAACTAGATAACTAAATTTGTACATCCACTTAAACCGGACAGGTATAAACTATAATATGCTGAAAGCAAATGAATGAGTGAGGGCATCATGGTCAACCTCTTGTGGAGTTGTCTACTCTTCCCTTCAAATACCTGAACAATGTATGTGATACATGACCATATGACATAACGATTCGATTGAGGCCTCTTCTGTAAAAAAATACGTGTAAAAGCTTATTTTTATCTCTGGGTTTAAAAAAAAATAGTTCTAATATTTTATTCCTACACCCCAGTGGATTGGTTTTTGTGTACTCTGCTTTAGGGAGATAGTGATTGAGAATAATCGGATTTTATTTAAAGTTGCTGCATGTTGAGAAGAAATTGGGCTGAGCTGTCTCATTCCAGCAGCTACCCTTCCCAGAGAGTAAACATCATATCAGTATGACCTTGTAATGTTAATGTTATAATTTATTTCCTATGTCAATGGAAATCTGATAAACTGAATTATATTTTGCTAAACTGACCTAATAGTAAATCTGAAAAGATTTCACAGGTTGACTCTCGAGTGTGCATTGTTACTGACCATAGTTACAAACATTATGCTGTATTATCACAGCTGTTTGAGATGGAGAACGTTTTTACTGTGTCATCAGATCCTCATCCCCCTCCTGCAGTCCCTCCTTCACTTTCTTTACCTTTATCTTCGTCTTCTACCTCATCTGGGACTAAAAAACAAAAGAGGACCCCTGCGTATCAGAGATCTGTAAGTCAGGGAAGCAGTCATCCCATCTCCTTTTGCTTTGTGTTAAGAGCATGATTAACAAGGGTCATTCCGTTTGGTTGAAATGCCCTGCAGACTCACTTTCTAACTTCCCTAAGCATTTCACCTGGAATCTTAAGAGGTAACTTTAGTAATTTAGAGCCTTGCTACTCAAATTGTGTAAAGAGAATCAGAGGTATTGGTATCACTTCTTATAAATGGAGACTGTCAGGTCCCCAGTTAACCATTTTAATTAATTTTAACCAGATCTCCAGGTAACTTACGTTTGAGAAGCCCTGGTTGAGAGCCCAGATTGTAGGGGCAAACCTTGATTTGAATCCTGGCTCTACCATTTTACTTTGGCAAGTCATTTAACCTCTCTGTTTCCTCAGTAGTAAAATGGAGATAGTATTACTTCCTTGTGGGCTCTTGTGAAAATTAAATGAATTAATACATGTCAAACACAGAATAGTGTCTAGCTTGAGAGAACTAGAACTTAACCACAAACAGGTGTGGTGGGTCTAATTTTCATAATTTGGCCGTTCCACATACTGTTTAACTACTCGGGTTTATCATTTTAAAATTTAGTCATTTTTTCTTAATGAAATACATTATTTTTATTAATAATGCTCAGCTTCTCACTTAAATGAAAATGCATGTAAGTCAAATTTTCAATGAAAAGTTCTGAAACTAGTTGTAAAGACCTAGCCTTTGCTAGAGATTTTATCCTATTTTATGCTTCACTTAAGCTTATAAAATTTGGTTTTACTCAGATAAAATGAAATATCCAATGTGATAGACAGTATTTGCAGACCTAAACCTGTTCCATTGCATTACATTTAAATGGCTCTTCTTTCACTAAAGAATGGGTTTATGTGTGCTTTATATGATCATAGAAATAACAATATAGTATTTAGCGATTTTAAGTCTGTCTGGAACAGATAAAAAGTTTTCTTTAAGTGTACTTGTGAAATTATTGAAATTTTTTAAAGTGGAAGATCATTTACTGTCTTGGAATTTTGTCTTAGAAAACTATTGTTTTCTAATTGTGTGTTTTGGATTTTCTTCCATTAAAAGACCTATGCATGCATCACCCTGAAATTTTCTGGTTTGAATTAAGTATTCATAGAGTTTATTTTATTGTGTTAATCTCTACTAATTTAAATATTTACCTTCAAGATGCATGGCTTCCCAAATAGTATTAAGGTTTCTTTTCATTTTAAGCTTCACAATAAGGATTAATAAATCTCTTACCGATAAGATTTGGTAGTTTGGTTTGCAGTCTCTTGAGTATTGGTAACTTTTGCTCTGAAATTGCTGTTTTAGTCATTTAAAATTAGCATAAAGGCATTTTTACTTATGTAGTTGATTTATCTTTAATATTAAACTCCAGAAATCCTATTTTATTTGGTGGCAGTTCCCCCAGAATATTTTTTCTGAAATGTTTTATTAGTTAAATTAACATTCAGTAATTAAAGCCCATAATCTTCCCTTTGTCTTTTTTACCTGTATTTTCTTTACCTTTTTATACTAATGATTTAGTGGTTTGTTAAGCAGATTTAGTATGCTGTGGAGATAATATACAGCTACAGGTAATATACAGGTATGTATATATTGAGTTCTTTTTCTTTTTAAAACAGATGAGCTTTGATCCAAACCTTCTCCACAACAATGGACACAATGGGTACCCCAATGGTACTTCAGCAGCACTGCGTGAAACTGGGGTTATTGAAAAACTTCTAACCTCTTATGGATTTATTCAGTGTTCAGAACGTCAAGCTAGACTTTTCTTCCACTGTTCACAGTATAATGGCAACCTGCAGGACTTAAAAGTAGGAGGTAATCTGTCAGTTCTCCCTTTTGAAAAGGATATAGTAAGAAATTTCTCTTAGCAACTTGTTCTGGAAGTGTTATAGTTTTGGTCTTTTAGCTGTACCAGTTATTGAAATAGTCTGTATAAACTAGCAGAATCCTAGTTTCTATTGTGGTGGTGTCTCTTTGAGAGATGAAGGACTAATAGACTAAAAGTTGTCTTAGAGAATTTTTATAATAGATGCTTGGGAAATGTAAGTGTTATTTCCCCCTAATGATGACTGTTTACTTACTATATATTTGATTTTAAGTCAATGAAAATACTGTACTTTTATATGTAAGTTATTATTCTACCATGTTCTATTTTTAGTACCTGGAAAAAAAAAAAAACTTAGAATGTCACCACTTGGACTTTATGTAAATTCATCTTGGTTGACACCGTAAAAAACATTTTCACACATGAAAATGTTTCGCTTATTAAAGGACTGAAGTTACAAGTTCCCAGTGTGTTTTTAAATTGTTTTTGAGAAAGCAATCCGAATAATCGCTAACATGAGTGCTTACTATGTACCAAATACTCTTAAGTGCGATAGGAGTATCATTTTGTTTAATCCTCACAGCAACCCTGTTGGTTAGGAAATATTCTCATTTTACAGATGTGAGGAAACTGAGGTACAGAGAGGTTAAAAAACTTGCCAAAGGTCATGATTGTTACATCATTTGCAGTATTTGTAAAATGCCGTAAAAACTAAAATAAAGACATGGCAATATTAATCTAAAGCAGTTCTCAAACATTAGCATCTATTAGAATTACCTGGAAGGCCTGGTAAAATACACATTGCTTTACCCTCTCCCACAGTTTCTCTTTGATCTGATCTTGAATGGGGCCCAAGAGCTTGCATCTCTACTAAGCTGCCAGATAATGCAGGAACCACACTTTGAAAACCAGTGGTCTAAGGCAACTCAAATGTTACCTTAAATTTGGCTTAGAGGTGAGATAACATTTTGCCAAAATTAGTCCCAAAAACATACATGCTCTTTATTTTAGATGATGTTGAATTTGAAGTATCATCTGACCGGCGGACTGGGAAACCCATTGCTATTAAACTGGTGAAGATAAAACCAGAAATCCTCCCTGAAGAACGAATGAATGGACAAGTTAGTGACTTTAATGCTTTATGTTTTCTTAGGGCCCTGCATTTGCATATCTTTCACATTAGTAAAGGAAGATTCTCCCCATCACCTCAGTTTGCACGCAAGAGAGCTATAGTATATAAAAATTACTATTTTAAAATTCTATCAGAAGCACTGGCATTTCTTGACCGGAGATACAAATATGGTCAAGATTCAATCTGGGTTTTTACATATAACCCTAAATCTATGCTTACAGTGAATTTATGTACTGTAAGTTTGAAACTTGGCAGCATGACATCCTCTTGTGGATCATATTAAAATGCATCCCTGTGTATAGTATAGAGGATATTAAAATTCAGTTTATATTGCACAGTGCTGCTCCTGAAATGATTAGCAATGGAAATTTTTTTTTTTTTGACTGGTAGGTTGTGTGCGCTGTTCCTCACAACTTAGAGAGTAAATCTCCAGCTGCCCCGGGTCAGAGTCCAACAGGGAGTGTATGCTACGAACGTAATGGGGTAAACTTGTGTATTTTTCTTAAACCTTTGCCTGATCCACCATGTGATCTATAAGCGTACTTTAAAATTCAGAATAGAAAACGTAAGCTGCAGTTGGTAAAATCAGTTTTAAATTTGGTTTCTAAAAGGCTTCTAGTGCAGCTTAATAAAAACTTTTAAAAAAAAAAAAATCCTTAGGACTTCAAGCGTCTTAGCTTGCCCAAGTGTGACCTTAGTTAGAATATTAAGGTAAAATGCTCCTTTCAATCACTTTTTTCGTGGGGCGGGGTGGCCTTTTTTTCTTTTTTCCTTCTGGTTCCTTTTAAGCACTAACTCCAGCTTTTTTGTTTGGAATGCCTTATATAAAAACGTTTTTTGAAGTGTAACTACAGTCTCTGGGCAAATGCTTCCACATGTGTAAGCTTTTTGAAGTTGGATTGCTGCTCAGCTGTGGGCTCGCAGAAGTCATCAGCACCATGGAGGGGAACTGTGTGTTTATATGTATAAAACAACTTACTTGTCATAAAGCATTTAATTTTAAGAAATTTGGCTTAAAATGCCAGTATAAGAGCTATTTAAGTAAGTAAGTCACAGTAAACAGTAACTATGCATCCTGCCAATGTAGTAATAATAACTTATTAATTCACAGGAAGTGTTTTATCTGACTTACACCCCTGAAGATGTTGAAGGGAATGTTCAGCTGGAAACCGGAGATAAAATAAACTTTGTAATTGATAACAATAAACAGTAAGTTCTTTTTTACATTTTCCCAACTAAGTGATTCTTTTTGATATTTTTGCATTAAGACATTTGAAGCAAGTTAAAAATCTAACTTGTAAATTTAGATAATTTCCATGATATTGTACACTTTTCATTCATCAGCTAAGCATTTGCGGGTCTATTCTGTAACAGGCACTGTGCCGGGTGTCAGAAATAAGATAAAACATGGTCACAGCTTTCTAGGAGCTGTTGTAGAGATCAGTGAAGGTTTTGCAGAAGCAACAGTGCTTAAGATTAGTTTTAAAGGATGCGTGTGAAATCACTAGGGAAATGAGAAAAAAGCATTCTAGGTAGAAGAAGTATCATGGCATGTTTAGGGAAACGAACAAAAGTTTGAGTTCACTGAACTGACCAAATCTTAGGAAGATGAAGTTTGAACTTTATCCTGTGGTCATAGAAATCTTTGAAGGATTTAAAACAGGGAAGTAATGATCAGTTTAAATCTCTGTAAGGTGATAGAGATGGAAGACATGAGGAGAGGAGGGATGACCTAAACTGGAAGATATGATACAAATGTTTATGTGAAAGATAGGGTACTGTTACAGATTGGCCAGGAGTGGTGGGGTAGAGAAGTCAGGTCACATTGAGAAGATAAAATCATCAAGCTTAATAATTGGGTAGAGTTGTATATTGGAATTAAGGGAATCCCAGAAGCTGTTTTTCTGGCTTGGGCTACTGGGTGGATGATGGTACCATTAACTCCACTAAGGATATGTGGGAAAAGTATTAGGGGTGGGAAAAGAATTCTAAACTTAGTTTGGCATTCAGAGTTTGACGTATCTATAGGTATAGCTGGGTGGAGATACTGAGTATGCAGTTCGTTGCATATAGGTCTGAGACTTAGAAGCTAGTGATGGACAGGACCATAAATAATCAAGGAACGCATAGTTAAGAAAGACAGGGGAGAGTTTTATTTTGGGTTGGGAGAGACTGGAGAGATGCAAGTATAGGGAGAAGTTAAAAATAGGAAGCTGGAAAGAGTGTTACGGATCAACAGCATAAGAAAGGAAAAGTTTCAAGAGCATGTGCAGATTGATCAGCCTTGACTGTTACCTTTTATAAAGCTAGAGGGAATCAGATCGAGGTGTTCTTAAATTATCCTTGAGAAAGGATAGCTAACATGAGTGCTATTAGTTATGTTATTAGTTCTGATCTGAAGGCCTTAATTTAATCTGAAGTAAAAAACTAGGGGATAGGGCTTGAGTTTGAGGGGGAAGCCACTGTGAAGGGCCTTTAACTTTTATTAAGTTTTTATATGTGCCAAACACTTGTACTTTGTATTTGGTTACTAATCCTCAGAAGAGCCCTATCTGATAAGTTTCCTCATCTGTAAAATGAGGTATAAATTCTCACAGAGTAACTTGCCTAAAGTCATACAACTTTTAAATAGCAGACATTTAAATCCCAGTCTGGCTCTTTTTCTCTGCAATAAGTTGCAAAGGCACGTAGGATTTTTTTCAGTGTCTTTGATAATATGCTAAATTTTTTAATTAGAAAGCACTGTTCCACATACAGCAGTTAGGTTACCATCTGTCCATTTAGAACTAAGGAAAATAATTGGTCTGTAGATCTTCTCTTAAAACAACTACAATAACAACAGTGTTGCATCTTGCACAGTTTTATGCTACCCTTAAAACAAAATTGAATACATTACTGTTGCTCAAAGATGGAGACAATATAGCAACATGTGGTACCTCTAATTGATTTAAATTCTTCAGTGGAGGTGAATATTTTTGAAAAGCATACTAGATTTTACCTACAATCACTGTATTTACTCAACTGTCTTTTATGGCTCTTTAATCAGTAATAATTGGTGGGATAGCTGCTTAAGTCAGTACTCATTGCTAACAGGGACAGTCTCGTACTCATCTCTGTATCCCCAGTACCTTAATTTGCAGCACGTAATAGCTACTCAAATGTTTGTTTAATGAATGACCTCTCTAAAACTTTAGCATTCCTCACCTTTGGTTGCATTCAGTTTGTTTCATTTGGACTAGACAAGCAGAGTAGAGCATCCTCTACCCAAGTACAAGTTTGTAAAAACAAATATTTCAACAGTCCAAGAGAAAACATGATGTATATATGTATGCCCAACTTAGAAGGCTGGGCCGGTTGAGTCCTATGAAGAGGATCAAGTGTCATAAACCTTATGTTTCCTCTTCATGATGACGTAGAATTCTTGAAGCCCAAGAAAACTAGTTTGTTTTTTTCCTAGTCTCATATCTAACCAAGCTGATGCATTTTCTCACCCCTCTGATTTCCCCCCTCACCCCAAATCCCTCTATTCCTTTCTAGTACTGGTGCTGTAAGTGCTCGTAATATTATGCTGTTGAAAAAGAAGCAGGCTCGCTGTCAGGGAGTAGTTTGTGCCATGAAGGTAAGCGTCATCAAATTTGAGACACTTGAGTTTACTCTTTGACAAACTCTTATGGTTCAAATGCAAGCATTTTGTTTTTCTTTGCCTTCTCCTTTAAAATTATTTCACTGTTTCAGTGCTAGCCTTAGAAGTAATCTCTTAAAATTTCTTAGTTGCTGATTGGTTATGTTCTTTAAAATTGGCAGTTTAGTTGATAATATTAGGCTTTACCTAATTATCACTTCCACTGCAGCATAAGTTTTTTTAAAAGGTTTTTATGGATTGTAAGTTGTAATCATAAGTACATACACTGAATGGTTCGTCATGTTTCCCCCATCCCTTTTTTTTTTCCCTCCCGCTTCAGGAGGCGTTCGGCTTTATTGAAAGAGGTGATATTGTAAAAGAGATATTCTTTCACTATAGTGAATTTAAGGGTGACCTAGAAACCTTACAGCCTGGAGATGATGTGGAGTTTACAATTAAGGACAGAAATGTAAGACAGTTGGCTAACTTGATCTTTGGTTTTTTAAGCAGTAGTAAATTACATTTTTAGGAAACACTTAAAGTTATGTGACTTTACCCCCTTCTGATTTAGGGTAAAGAAGTTGCAACAGATGTCAGACTATTGCCTCAAGGAACAGTCATTTTTGAAGATATCAGCATTGAACATTTTGAAGGAACTGTAACCAAAGTTATCCCAAAAGTACCCAGTAAAAACCAGGTAAATAGTCTTTTTGAGGAAAATTCTCTTCCCTCATCAGTAATAAAATAATATGGTGTGGTATGGAGAAGTTTTATTCCATTTGATTAGTGTAATTGTGTGATAGTGGAACAGTTAAATACTTTTTTATGTGTATAATTAAACTAAATGAGAAACCACTGATTAATATAGCCTTTTTTTTTTTTTTTTTTTAAACTGACAAGGAGAGAAGGCAAAAGAAGAAAAATGCTGATTAAATTGGGGGAAAAATATCTTGATTGATTTGGACTGCAGTTTGGGTGTGCACTTTTACCCCCACCCCCATTTATTCCTGGGTGGGGAGGTAAGGAGACAAGTAGTGTCATTGCTGAGGAAATGTGAAACATAAAAGACAGAAATTCTTTTCCTTGAATAAAACCTTCTGTTGTTGTCAGAGTAGAGTTTTAACTGCAATGGTTCCACAGAACCGGAAGCATTCAAATTGGACTATATCGTCAACAGCTTTTTTCCCTTCAGGGAACTGTCTGTTATAAATAACATGGGTTTGCTATGCTGTTCTTGTTTGACTTAGAACTAGGAAGGATGAGAAATCTCCAACTAAAACCGCTTTTCCTTCTCACCAGAATGACCCGTTGCCAGGACGTATCAAAGTTGATTTTGTGATTCCTAAAGAACTTCCCTTTGGAGACAAAGATACAAAATCCAAGGTGACCCTTCTGGAAGGTGACCATGTTAGGTTTAATATTTCAACAGACCGACGTGACAAATTAGAACGAGCAACCAATATAGAAGTTTTATCAAATACGTTTCAGTTCACTAATGAAGCCAGAGAAATGGTAAGTGCTGGATGTTACTGGATATGTATTTAATATGGGGGCAATATTGTATTCAAGTTTGTAATGCTAAATTGAAATTTCAGATAGGTCTGGGTATGATTTCTGTCTCTGCCAGGTATCTTGCAAATAGACAGTGAAAAAGTTTTCAGAATGGAAATCAGGACAGGAAGATTTCTAAGACCTGAGAGACAGGAAATTGATGTCCATCATGGTAGAAAGTAGATTTTCCCACCAAAGTGTTCCATAAGATGTTTAGTAAACACTAGATTAAACAAGGTTAAAAATTCTTTTTAATGGGTATGTGTCCAACCAGGGCATATAAAATAATTGTTACCCAAACATTTTTTCAAACTCAATTTTCATGAACTAACCCTCCCATCCATAGTCTACATTTAGTTCTGTTTGTTATCTTAACATACACAGTATATCTCAATGGAACTGGATACAGTCAATGAAATTTTAACTTTTTTGAGTTTTTTTAGCCTTTGCCTTTAGAGAAAAGATCTTATTTGATATTTGCAATGTATTTTTAGTTTTGAAAGTATGATTTTAAAAATAAACATTAAGCTTCTCAGGCAGTCTTATCTTACAGTATGGAATGCAATTTTGAATAGATTGACTACCATCAGGACTTAACAATGGTTAAGTGTCAGAATATTGTTTTAGGCCAATTCAGAACTGGATATAGAACAGCCATCTCTGCAAAAGGTAAATGTGTAATATGTAAGTCATTGGTAGGTTGATAATTTGTTCAGTGTTTCAGTGAACATCTGTCCCTACCATGTGCCAAGCACTCTGGATACAGTGCCAACACAGAGCTGATAATTTAGTAAGGAGGGAAAAAAGGATGGGGAAGAGGTTTCCCATGTTTATTTTTCAGACCTAAACTCACTTAAATTTTTGAGGTAGAGAGTAGAGAGTTGCCTTTTGTTGTAGACTTCTGAAATGTTGATTTGTAGGTTTTTGAAATTTCCAGAAGTTACATTGTCATAAGGCTTTGGCTTTACAGCCTGACTTAGAATCCTTGCCCAGCCACTTATGAGCTGTGTACTTTGGACATACTGTTTAATCTCTCAGCCTTAATGTCCTTATCTTGTAAAACAGGGATAAATATCAAGTTTTCAGAATTGAGAGTTAAGTGAAATACAGTGAAACCTGTGTGAACCAGAATTTGACAGGACTGCCTTGCTTTTCTGGGTCTCACAAGTTTTCTGCCTTTGACAGCGTGTAGTTTTAACCACTTTTCTGTTGTTCTCTATTAGTGGAAATACATGTTTTCCTTCTCTGACAGGTTTCCACCTTACAGGGGTTCTGCTTTTGCAGGTTTTACTGTAAATTGTGTGCACCTGTTTACATTCAAATATGGTGGTAATACGCAAAGGGGATAGCATATGGAGAGTCTCAGAAAGTTGTTTAACAGATAAATTTATTGAAAGCAGTGAGTTCATATTTAAGTGAAAGAAAAAAATGAAAATGTGGATACAGTGTTTGGTTTATTAATAGAAGAAATTCCAAATGAATTTAGCTTGTATGGTGCTTCCAAACTTGAATGTTTTACTTGACAAGTTTCACACCCAGTGAAAATATTAATTTGGGTTTCAGGGTGTGATTGCTGCCATGAGAGATGGTTTTGGTTTCATCAAGTGTGTGGATCGTGACGCTCGTATGTTCTTCCACTTCAGTGAAATTTTGGATGGGAACCAGCTCCATATTGCAGATGAAGTAGAGTTTACTGTAGTTCCTGTGAGTAGTTTTTGAGAAAAGTATGGGCTTTTTTCTTTTCCCCGATGCTTCCTTTTTCAATTTAAAGTTATTTTCGTTTATCATTTGTAGGATATGCTCTCTGCCCAAAGAAATCATGCTATTAGGATTAAAAAACTTCCCAAGGGCACGGTTTCGTTTCATTCTCATTCAGATCATCGTTTTCTGGGCACTGTAGAAAAAGAAGCCACTTTTTCCAATCCCAAAACCACTAGCCCAAATAAAGGCAAAGAGAAGGTAAGTTTACGTGATCAAAATGATTGTCTTACTCTGCTTAACAGCAACCACTGCCATGTCATAATGCAGTATGGTCATTTTCAGAATTCCGTTATTAGTGAATTTAATTTAAAACACAATTTCTTAACCACAGCATTATTGACATTTTGGGCTGTATAATTCTTTGCTGTAGGACATTGTGCTGTGCATTGTAGGATGTTTAGCAGCATCCCACTAGATAACAGTTATCAACTCCCTCCTGTTCGCCGGTTGTGACAACCAGAAGTGTCTCCAGACATTGTTAAGTGTCGCTTGTTGTTAAATGTCCCTCGAGGAACAAAATTACCCCCAATTGAGAACCACTCATTTAAGATGATAGTGCCTGTCTTCCAAACAGTTTAAAATGTTAAAAATTAGGTAGGCTCAGTTCACACATGAACTCCATTTACTGAAAAATCCAGTGGCTAGGAAATACAAAGATATCTAAAATCGCTTCTTTCAGGTAAGCAGATTGAGAGTTGTGTAGAATGTAAAATGTTGCAGTAAAGGGTCAATGAGCATGTTCTGGCAAAAACTAATTCTGAGTGCAGGATCTGGGATGGTTTCACTAAAGCACTGACATTTAATAGGTGGAGATAAGTGAAGGAAGAACATTTTTTACACAGTAGTGGTACAGATGAGAAAAATTTATTCTTTTGAAAGCAATGAGTTAAGTAGTTTGATAGGAACATGGAATTTCCCTTTTTTGTAGGGTAAGGTAGAGGAAATAGGGATGGAAAATCAGGGTGCAGCTAGATTGGGAGGGTGTTGATTGCTGCTTTAAAGAATTTAGACCTTTACTGTGGGTAGAGAAAAAGATTTGTATTGGAAGGTAAACATCAGGTATGTGTTTCAGGAAGATAATGGCAGTAGTATAAAGGTTAAGGCTGAATGAAGGTGGAGAAGAGAAAGACAAAAGGTGAAGAGGCTTGATAGGAAATTAATAGTTGACGAGTTCTTGAACCTAGGGGCAGAGAATGGATATAGACAAGAAAAGGTACATGAGAGACGCACTGGAAAGTAATGTACAAGAGAGAGCAGGAGTAGCATCTCTGCTACCACTTACATCTCTGAACCTCAGTTTTTAAACTTAAAAAAGGATTTTCGCCGATTGTGCTTAGTTGTGTGGAATTGTGTTTAATAGACGCTCACAGTGCCTAGCCCATACTAGGAATTTAACAAGTGGCAGGTGATACTATTAATGACGGTAATAAAGAGAAAGTTCAGCAGGGCTTATTTAATGGCTTTTAACTCCTGGAATGCCCTTCTTCCCAAATGTTTCTGGCAGAAGTGAGATTTTGCTTCCCTTTATTGTTTGTCGTTTTCTTCTTGGGCCAACACTGTATGCTAGTATATACTCCTGTCATTGTGCTTATTATAATGTATTACACCTAATCTGTTTATGAATTTATCTCCCCTAGTTGTCCGGGCTGCATGGGGGCTGTGAGTTTTTTTAATCTGTATTTAATATAGTTGGTGTATTGTCAGATATTGGCTGGATATTGAGGATTGGGGATGAAGAAGATTGAGAGCAAAAATAAATGCTGAGATTTTCAGTTTGGTTGACTTGCAAAAGAATTGTTGCCGTTGGGGTAGTACCTTAATTCAGTGGCGTGATTGCTCTTCAACCAGACTCAAATCCTCAGGATCATCTTGTACCAGGTGTGTGACCTTGGTCATGTTATTTAATCTTTAAGATGTTTTCTCTTGTTTATAAAATGAGATTAGGAATACTGTGTTTTTACACAGATAATGCATGCCTTCTATATTTGTTTACCAATCTTAAGCCACCGCTGTGGCAATTTTTTTACATGCTATAAAAGAAGTTAGCATAGCGCACTTAACAAAAATACCTCTCAGGGACAGGGTGCAGGTGATAAACTTCAAAGGCGCATGTTATTTGTGAAAAAATACAGTAACTATAGGGATAGTTATAACATTAAGTTGGATAACATAAAGTACCTAACATAATGCCTAGCACATAGTAAATGCTCAATAAATATTTGTTATATAGTGGTTATATTCACCAAAGAGGATATACAAAAGGCCAACAAGCACATGAAAAGATGTTGATTATTAGTCATTAGGGAAGTGCAAGTCAAACCACAATGAGATATCACTTCATACCCACTAGGAGGCTGTGATTTTAAAAAGAGAAAACAACAGGTGTTGTTGAGAATATGGACAATTTAAAACCCGCATCCATTGCTGGTAGGATTGTAAAAGGGTACAGCCACAGTAGAAAACAATTTGACAGTTCCTCTGAAAGTTAAACATATGATTACCACATGATCCAGCAGTTCCACTCCTAGGTATATATCCAAAAGAGTTGAAAGCAGAAACAGATACTTGTACACCCCTTTTCATTGCAGCACTGTGCACAGTATCCAAAAGGTGGAAACAGTGTAAATGCTCATCAACAGATGAATGGATTAAAAAAAGAAAAATGTGGTACATACATACAATGGAATATTAGCCAGCCATCAGGCAAATGAAGTCCTGATACATGCTACAACATGGATGAACCTTGAAAACATAGTGCTGAATGAAATAAGTTAAGGCACGAAAGGACAAATATGACATGATTCCACTTACATAAAATATCTAGAATAGGCAAGCGTATAGGGACCTAACTGTATTAGTGGTTACCAGGAGCGTACAGGAGCAAGGGGCAAAAGGGGACTCACGGCTTAGGGGACACTGAGCTTCTGTTAATGGCGATGGTATAATTTGGGAATGGAAAAGGATGATGGCTGAACAACATGATAAACTTAATTCCTGTCACTGAACTGTACATGTGAAGATTGTTAGAGAGTCATATGTTTTGTTACATACGTATTTACCACAATAAAATTTTTTTTAAATAAAACATAGTGGTTATATAGTGGTAGAAAGGTTGAAATCAATTGTCTTTTAGTATGTAATAGTTGATAATGAGATCTGGAGCTTCAGAAAGAAGTCAGAACTAGATTAGGGTCGTGGACATTGTACCCATAGAAATGCTGGCTAAAACCATAAAAAGAGTATAATTTATGTAGATGATGTACAATGTCATTGCTTACTGAAATTTTACTAACAAGTTTCTTAGGGTTCTAAGGAGTTAAACTTTCATATGATCTTCCATATACTATCTCATAACTCACCCATTTAATCATATTAAGTGCTTAGAACAGTGCTAGATGCTATACCAAATTAAGTTCTCATACATTAGTAAATAGTTGACATTAATTATGTACAAAACATTGTTGAAGTGCCATGGGAGATTCCAAATAGGGAATACAAAAACTTCTTACAGAATTTCATATCCGAAATACTCAGTTTGATTTCTGATTAGCTATGAGGAGTATAAGGAGCCCTGATGACCTACCAGTTTTAAGTGCTTGGCTGCTAACTGAAGTTTGGCAGTTTCAACCCCAACTGCTCCACTGGAGAAAGATAACAGCGGTTCTGCTTCCTGTAGAGATTGTAGCCTTGGAAATCCTATGGGGCAGTTCTGCTCTGTCCTGTAGGGTCGCTGTGAGTCAGGATCAACTCGACAGCACGTAAGAACAGCGTGAGGAATATGGAATTGACGTGTCTTAAATTTTCAGTAGGCTTTCCCCCTTCAACAACCAGTAGGCTCTTAAAACTAAAAAACCCAATACAGCAGATTGTGTTGCACTACGTTAAGATAAGGCTACTTTTTATTCATACGGAAAAAAATCTGCCTTGTTTGAGAATCCTGGAGTAGGAACTTTCTATAGCTGTGCCAATTCTTTGGCTCAAGGATCTGTGAAAAACTGTAGTTGTTCTTTTTTTTTTTT